CACCACCACCTCTCAACTGCCTCATCCTGCTCACCAATCCTTTTGATGGCTTCTCATGGCACAGAATCCCATCAACCATCATCCATCATCAGGTCCAGGTCCTCATCTCATCATCCATCATCAGGTCATCATCTTTATTAAGGGGATGTGGTCCTCAAATACCTCAAATCTCAGACCTTATTGACCTTGTTGACCTTGAAGGGGGGGGGGCCGTTTATTAATCCGGTGTCGAAATTATAATGTTTTTTTCCTGCTATAATGGGGTCGCTATTTTCCTGGCATGGAGAAGCATGTGGTGGTTCTAATCCAAATTCCCATTCATGCGATCAACCATAGCTTTTGCAAATCAATCTTTCCCGCACTCCATGTATGACTTTCGTGGGGCTTCCAAATGAATTTACCCAGCCTTCGCAACACATTGCAAAATGTTCGCCAAGCTTTTGTGATGTTTTTACCACCTCCATATTCAAGGCGCAAGGCAAGCTAGCCTATAAATATACTACAGGTATAATATCCATCGCCCTAACTAGTACTTATACTACCCTCGAGTGACCAAGGAATTAACGGAGGCACATGCCAATTTTAGCATCCTTCCTCATCAGCCACTTACTGTTTCGCAAATGTGCTGCAAGTTCTTTCTCATCACTCAAAACATTATGAACATCAAAGGCACAAATCCTTACTCATCAAAGGCTAGTATATATAAATATAAACATGTTGTATCATGTTGTGCTATATTCGGCAAACACATGTTTCTTCACAAAAGACATGTGCAACAAAAACCTTGTGCCGAGAAAATAACAGGCGCTACTACTGACTATAAGCCCATTCACCACAGACCACAGGCCTCGCCTGAAGCCGCTCAGCAGCTGCTTCAAAAGCTCATCCACATCCTGGCCTTCAGAAGAGGAGATGGCATCAGTGAAAATGGGCACAAACGCAACGCTTTAAAAGCAAAACACTCACTCTGACTTTGTATGCTAGAAGCATCCTGAAGCTAGATTTGCTAGATTCCTTCAGTGTCCATGAGTTTTTGATCAGTCAAAGATGTCCCAAGGCTTGCCCCAAGGCTTGTCCCAAGGTGTTTCATGGTAAGATGGCATCTTGCACGGCAAAATGCAAATCCACCAGAAATACTGAATCAAAAGTGACAATTCCAAGATAATTGTTTTCCCCAAACGACTGTTGCAGGTCGCCAATGCGTTGCAAACACGCCCGCTTCCACAGCTTCGGTTGGTTCATGAGGGCCATGGTCATCTTCATCTCTAACGCCGAGCAGTGGCTTCATATTATAGAAGCTAGGCAAGCATGAAACGCGGAAAACCTTTCCGCCAAAAAAAAGACTGCACACATGTTTGTCAGCTGTTCAGTTCTTTTGCCTTTCTTCGTCTCGAACTCGATTCCTTCCCCTTTTCATCATTGGGCGCACGTCCTCCACGGCCGGTTCCCCCACCGCTGCCGGCCCCGTGGTCTCCCCACCGCTCTCGGCCTGAAAGGCGCTCGGCGAACCTCAACTGACCCGCCAACAAGGCGCCGAAGGCGCACAGCTGCACCGAGGCAGCCGACATCCCGCCGCCGCGATGCCCGCACCTCGGTGATCCGGTTCGGTTGGGTCGAAGCAAGCGGGTGTCAGGGTTGGTAGTTGAAGGATGTTGGAAGAACATCAGAAATCAGTCTGAGAGTGCTACAGTATGTTACAGTAATTGGTCTCGCCTATAAAGTAAATAGTTTTAAAACATGTTGGGCCACATCCCAGGTTCTTCAAACATGAATCGTCTTCAGATCGGACTAGATCGGTGGCTTTTGGTCAGAATGGCACCACCGATGGAGCCACCGATGAAACTGTCTGAAATGCCCGTGGTCGGAGCGGTCGGAGCTAAATGCGCAGTGATTCGCAGTGCTCCAAGAACCCAAAGAAACATATTTGACCCCCAAGTAAACTGTGTTTCAACTTGAGAGGGCCTCTACCCAGGCCCAGAGTGGTGTCCGTGATGCTACTCCTTGGGTTTGCGTCTTGAGCATGTGCCTCTACCACTAGCAATGGATGATGATTATTTGATTATAACAAAAAGTATCAGTCATGTGGCACCTCCTGGGTGGAACCACACAGAGCACGAGCCCCACCACGCATGCGCATGTATGTCTCCAAGAAGCAACTCGCTGAAGTGAAAGGCCTTCTTCGCAAAGATCTCCAACTTCTTCAGGCTCAAATCTAAGGTCTGAGGCACATGTGGTCTGAATGTCTGCCATCGACCCAAAGGAGGCTTGTCCAAACTATCCCAAACGATGCGCAAAAAAACTGACCCCTAAAAAGATCAAACAAGAATAGAAAAGAACTGTTGCTACACAAAATGGCCCAGCCCCGCAGTCTGGTTCTTAGATTCTTGGTGCCCCACACCCAGAACCTCCCGGGCGTCTCTCGCCCGGACAGCCGGTGCACCGCTGCGGCCGAGCGGCGGAGACGCAGCTCCTCAAAGTTGCTGGACAGCAAGTGGTTGAGCGCGGGTGCCAAAGCCATCACGGATCCGAAGGGCGACGAGCTGATCACCAGCAATCGGCGCAAGAGCTCAAACCTGCAATTGATCGCCAGGATGACATGGGACGGAGAAATCGATTTTTTTGCTGACATGTTGGAAGGCAGCGGAAAGTTTCGCATTTTGCATGATTCCGGTTCCTTGGAGACAAATACATGCAAGAGCTGGGTCTTTTGGGACCAATTGAGGTCGCGACAGCCGTTCCAGCGATGGCTGTTGCCCGGCAGAGGCCACGAGTACATGCAGGATGTCTGAGACTTGGTCCACGTTGCGAACCTGAGGTGATGGTGACGCTTCAGATGGTTTTCTAAAACCTCAAAACGTCCAATTTTCAGTGGAGGATGAATTCAAATCGAGTGTCCCAAAGAACCCGGGACGAGGCGGTCCTCCCCCGAAATCCGAGCGAGCGAGCGAGCTTTCGCAGGGTTTGAAGGCGGCTCAGCGGCCCGCCCAGCGGGCGCGAGATCGAACCCTGGGTTCGTGTGTGTGCGGTTTCCTTGGACTAATAATGTATCAGACTCCATACAAGAATAGTATCTACATGTATCTAAACACTCTTGTCATATGGGAGGTTTCTCTTGATATTATAGAAAGCCCCCCCCATATGAAGAGATATTAAATGGGGTCCCGCAGCTATTTTCTCAGCAAGGGGATCTGTGGGCGCGCGATGGTGCGCGCGTTTGGCGAAGACGGTCCGCAAGTTCGTGCATCCAAATGGGGTGGGTACGGTTTATGAATCAAGAGTCTACATTAGTATTCAATACTCCATGGTTGGCAGCACCTTCACAACTTCACATGGAGGAGCGTGGTTGCCTACTAAAGCTGATCAGTTGCTTGGACTATTCTCTGGTCTTGTACATTGTACATGTCGATTGTACAGGTACATCACTGCCTTGGCTTCATTTCTTTGAAGCACTCCTTTGTATCTTGGGGCTGAACCAAGCTGAGAATGGAGTCATCGGCATTGACGGCTTTCTTTACACCTTTACTGGTGCCTTCGGTGTCGGCTTGCTTTGTTGACCGCATTGAAACGACCTTGGCCTCGTGGTTGCTTTGCTGAGCTGCCAATTGAGCACCGACTTTCTCGATTTTGGAGGAAAACAAGTTCTGGTGTTGACCGGGGAGGAGACCGTCCTTGTGTTCTCATTGAATGACAAATATTAATGATCGATTGGATCATTGTCGCTCCTTTCTGCCTTTTGCTCGTGCCGAAACACCAAATGGTATGTTGCTCTGAGTTGGTTCAATTGACCGTCATGATCGGTCGCTTGGTGAATTTAAGCTTTGGCCATGGACGCTATTGCTGCATGTGAAGCTTGTGCATACCAGCTGCGGGCTCGTGTGTGGGCCATTGCCATTGCGACGTATTTTGGTCTCGGACTATGAATTCCCGTGTGCGAAGTGCTCTGCATTGTGACCATGTTGTTTTACAAGTGCGGTTTTCGGCTGGCACCCGATCCACATTGGCTTCAACACTCTCCAAATGAGATGGGGATGAGTTGTGCGGTAAATAGTGGAGTTGTGCCGACTTTGTGCAGCTTGCATTTTGTAACGATCACTGCTTCTTGAACTCCTCGATCTCAGCCGCTTGAATGAAGTCAGCCTTGACAGGTCCGTGGTTGTGCAATGTTGCCCTGCGATTGTTTTTATTTACTCTATAGCCTATAGCCTTCGGCTGGCCGAAGGTAAACCCTGCTTTGTGTCATGATCACCACCTCTCAGATCACTCGATTGCTTGCAGTGAAGAAACATTGACGACTACTGACAACTATGGACCGTCCGATACGTGTGGAGGCCTTGTTGTGCAGTTGTCTGTGTGTGTGTTTGTGCCGCAAGGTCTACTGCCTGTTTCTTCAGTAAGCCTCCGTGAGGTACTTTGCCCTCCTTTAGCTCTCTGGTGTTTTTTCTTACATTGGTGGGCCTCTGCCACAACACACAGCTCAAACCCTATGATGCTGCTGAGAACTCTGCGAGTCTACCGCAGGGCTGACATCCCACTCTAGGTTGGTGGAATGTCACTTCTTTCCTTTGTGAACTCTCGTGAGTTGAGCCATTGTCCATTTCCACGCTTCATGTGTGCAGGCCTTACCTGCTGTCCTGTGCTTCGGCCCCGGCATTGTGCCCCGTTCTCGGGGAGTTTGCCATGCGGGAATTGAGGCTGATGGGGAGCTTTTGAAGCTATGTAGAGGAGGACTGCCAAGCCGTGAGGGCTTTACTCTTGACCTTGCCCCCACCTTAAGGTTTCATGAGCTGGTGTGATCTTCTTTAATTCTCGACCTACTACAGCTCTCGAATATTTTTGAATTGTAGTTATCGAGGCCAATGTTATGCCGGAAAGTGGTTTTAGCTCACCTCCTCTTTGGACCTCCCAGCAATACTGGTGTTCAGCTGCTTCAAAGGTAACATCCGCTGAACCAACAAGTTGCTGGTGCTATGCTGGTCGACCTTCCCCAATCCAAAGGCTATGAAAAGGACACAATGGACACAATGTGTTAATGTGTTGAGGGGCTGGCTCCCCGTAGCAAGGTCCAACTTTGCATACCACCCCAGCCATGAAACGTAGGGAGCGGTTCGAATCACCAAACTCTCAACATTATCCTACTAGTAGCCGCTTTAACATATTAACAAGCGCACACATGCACGCCACCATCTGGTAAGGCATTCAGAAACTGGAAGCTCCACGAAGACTTCGGCAGCCCCTATCATGAGGTGTGGCCAAGGTACCCCACTGTAGGCCCACAACCACAGTCGGTCCCCAAGGCTCGGGTCCATCGAAGCAATCAGTTTTCTTCGCTGTATGGTGTCTGCATGGAAGAACTCCTGAAACAACTCCACAGTATGAACATGGATGAACTGTTTCTTTTTGTGCGTCCAAGCTTGGACAAAGGGAAAGAAGTGGAAGGGGACATCGAATGTCAATGTGGATGCGGAAGGGCTATTTTGTCGAATCACAGAATCATTGGAAGCTTTGAGATACAAAGGCCGGGTTGAGGGGACTTTCAGGGCTTGACGGGATACGTCAGCACATCGGCACAAAGATCGGCACAAGGCCACACGAGACTAAGAGGACTGGCACTTGAAACCCAGCCAAGTCCAAACCTTTAGTATTAAACCTCAAGAAAATCCTGGATGCCAATGTTCAGCTTAAAGAATATACAGACCCCCCATATAGACCCCCCGCATCCCCACACCAAGACAAACAGCTCCTTGCAGCGTGCTTCCACTGCGTTGGCGATCTCCTCCGCCGCCTCGCGGTTGCCTGCCCAGATCCGTGCGAAGTGCATCGACAGCCTCGGCTGGTCGCCCTGCGGCGCGGGACGCGCAGCGTGCAGCGCTGGACTCGCGGAGCGCTCGCTGTGGCGCGGAGCGCGGTGGCGCTCGTCATGCTCGCTGGAGCGCTGGGAAGGTGGGGCGACCTGACAGCATCCGGTGTGGGAGAGGCGGGAAGGCACTTGGCTCATTCAACGAGGAGGGTATCTAAGGTGAAGTTCTTGCAAAACTGTTCAAAACGAATGATCGACGCACATCGACATGCATCACGTTGCTTATATTTATATACGTGGTACACTCATCCTCTGATTTTGTGAGCCAAGTTATGACCCAACCATTCCTGATTCAAATTCGAAGGATTCCATGATTTTTGCACTTGTGGGCCGTAAGTTGGCCCCAAGTTGGTGGCATTTACGAGGGGCTCAGGAAAAACTAATGATTGTTACACATGAAGAGCCTGGGCAATCCAAGCTCATCCACAATCCAGCCATGGATGCTACACAAATCTACACAATTGAAACCAGAATATGGTCATCCACCCGTGCTCCCTTTCGTCTTGGCTCCACTGTGCTCCGATCAAGGTCTCTCAACACTCTGTCAATGCCTGCCATGTTTAATGTGTTGGTCTCCAGACACATGTCAAACCAATGCAGCTGTGCAAGTAATTTTCCTCCACCTCTCCCCCACTCAATGCAACATCACTCTTCTGAGATATCCTGAGATCCTTTCCCTCACTATCCAGAAACGGTCCCCGTCGCCTCTTTCTCCTTGCTAAGCTTTAGGATTGCAGCAAATGGGTCCTCCAAAAATGTTCGGAATTGGACTTCCGTTTTCGACCATTCCCCATGAATCCGATGGGCTCCGGCTCAGGGGTTAGGCTGATTGACGCCCGTGCTTAGTAGCCAAAGAAATGGCAATAGATCTTATATATATATATACCGTATACCAGTAATTATTTAAACATATATGTTTGTGAATCCCATTCAATTATCCCCGAACCTGTCTCTAAAACTAGGACTTGTTATTGAAACAAAACAGTTTTTCCAGCATGGCTTTAAGGTGTTCACCAAAAATGTAATTCGTGTTTGAACACCACCCCAGAAGCCGGCAATGCTGTATAGCAGATACAAATATATAGCGTTTAAATACTTGAGGTTTAACGGGTTGGTGCATCCATCCATGTGCATCCTTTAGCTCTTCATGATACCTTTCCCAAAGCCAGATCTTCATATCCTCTTGTCATGCCCAAGAAAACCCCATAGACCATAGATTCCCATGATTCCACCACTGGCTCCCTCAGTTTTCTTCGAACATCAAAATTATATATATATAATATATATACTAAGAGAATGACTTCACCGTCTTCCGCAGGGTCATCCCCTCTCAAAACAACATCCCCCACTGCATCCCCCCGTCCCCATCCCATCATCCAAAGAAAGCCCCACAGCCCCTTCCGGCGCGCCGGACGTCACCCGTCCTCCGCCTCCGCGATGCGCCGCACGGCGCCGGAGCCGAGCCGCTCCGAGGGCTTCGGCATCGGCGACGCCGCAGGCGGAGGGGGCGCCTCCGGCGCCTCCTGGCGAGGCGCAGCGGGGGGGCGGGGCGGGGTGGCAGAGGGGAGGGAAATTTCGGCCGTAGGCCTCGAAGTGCCAAGTATTAATGGAAACAAGTTCCTTAAGACATGCGTCCAAGAGAATGGAATTCTCTTCGCATGTTGAATGGAGGACTACCTAGTATAGCATCGAACCAGCATGATGCCACGTGTTTGTTTTCAATCAATTAATATGTGCAAATGAGGACTAATGAGTATGAGTCTGAGGGAAGGATTTGCGACACATCTCCCATCGTTGTAGCTTCACATCTGTGGGGCAAAGGAGGTTTGGAATGGGACTCCAGTGCCAACTGCCAAGGGCCTGACACCATCCACAAATGATGCACAATTAAGGCGCACCATTGCCGAAATGGACGCTCTATATTGCAGTATTACCCAGTGAGATTCCTCGACTATACCAAGCATAGGGATTGATTAAGTGTTCTTCTTCAGGCTCCAGTGATTCCACCCCACTCAGTCCCCTGCCTTCTTCGGCGTCGCCAGGCGTGGGCGCTTGCTGTCTGGTTCGACCGTCCGGTCGCCTTGACGGACGGGTAACATCTATTAACATCTGCAATTACAATGGGACAATAATAAACGTTCAGTTGAACAAAATAGAAAAATCAAACATCTGCACACGCCGCCTCCTTTGGCCGCTCGCCGCAATGGAAAGCTGCTGGTCGCACCTCCTTTCGTCTCCGATTTCTGCTCGCCGCGGTGGCCCGCCGCGCTGGCGCGGCGCAGCACACGCACTTCACGGAACTTCATGAGCCATCGCAAGCTGGTGGAGTAGTGGCCCTTGGAGCTCCTGAGCTGTGGAAATCCAAGGGTGGGCTGAGGAATCAAAGGCGGAGTTGCCAAAAGCTAAGAACTTCTTGTCAAGGCAGTTAGGAATTAGTGGGGTTACGTCACCGACACGAAAGCGTTGCCAAAAATGTGCAATGTACATCCTCCGTGCTTAGACACTCATGCGGAGAAAAAAAAATAACACAAAACGGCTCACTCTCTACAACATGAGTCATGAGGGTCCGAAAGGCATGTAGAGCCAAATGATCGGCATGTTATAGAGGACCAAGCACGGAGGATCAATGTACATTATTTTGGCAAGGTGCCGACACACACACACACACACACACACACTGTAAGCAGAGGGCATCTTTCACCCAAAGCTGAAGCCAAGCCCCGGCCAAGGCACTTGTCTTCCGGCCACGTGAGGACGTCTTCGTAGATGGTTTCGATGTTAGGCAAGAGCTCATGAGGTTGGATCTGCTCCTTCTCCATGATCTTCCTGCACCGAACGGTCGACAAACCACAAGCCGGTAGGATGCGGACGTAGGACTCAAATCCGGTGAGTTCCACACAAGCGAACGAACACGGGAGCTTCGAACCCAAACAGAGTCGTCACTACACCTTCCGCCTCCAGGGTGCATACGAAAAAACACCGCCATGTTTGGCCGAAAACTCATTGGAGCCCTGCAGGGTCTGTCACGGGAAGCTCATTGCAGCTCCTGACTTTGTTGATGTGATGCTCTGAGCTGATGGTTTGAACCTTCAGCTCATAGCAGTGCTCATCTAAAGATGCCTGGCAGCTTCGTCTCGGACGTCTCGAAGATCGGAGACGTCTCGAGTCCGGGCGGTGCTTGGTATGTTCGTGTTAGCAGCGTCGTGCTCTTTCAACGATTGGCTCAAAATCACTGGGGATCTCTATTATTGGCCTTAAATGACCTGAGCCTTGGTTTCGGAAAGGGCACTTTTGGACAACCCCCGGGAAAGATTGTATTCTGAGTTTCAGGTGTCTCCTGCAGTCCAACTTTATAGCTTGTACAATCTTGTACATATTACATGGTTACTGTAGTGATTAGTCGTCTCACCCTGAGCCAGGCGCTATGCCAGGTATAAAGGAACATGCATGAGACCATTTTCCTGTCACATCATCAGCCACGTTCGACTTGTTTCATGTTTCTAGTACATTGGCTTCGGTGCACAAGCCCAAGGTTCACCCTGCTACAGTAGCATACAGTAGCAGCTCATAACACACTTCGGCAACAGCGTGTTGGGCACCACCCAAGATGCAGGAAATTCATCCTTTCGTCTCTCACGTGCCCCAAGTGGACGCCGCCCAGAAGAAGTGGACCGAAAAGCTGACTCCAGGACTCCAAGAGTGACGAAAAGCCACGCTCAAAGAATTCCAGGCCTTGAAATCCGAGAGCAGTTGTTCAGTGCTCTGAGGTGAGTTGTCCAGCTCATCCGCCAGCTGTTGATCCCAGGCCTGGTTGATCCGCTCCTGGTGGATTTTCGACGGGAGAAAGGGAGAAAAGGGAACAGAACAGGCTGTGACACAGACTGTCTGGCTGGCGTGGGGCAAATTGATGTCAAAATCAGATCATGCCGCTAATGTGTATACTTGACATACTGCCCTGAGTTCAGAACTGAAAACTATTGACCAGGCTGAAGATCAAGGGGAGGCAAGGCCCATTCCCACAAGACCCAACACGACTCAACTACACTTCCCTTCGGTTCTTCCATACTCTTTCCAGAACGAACAAACGCCACATCACGCAACTCGTTGACCACTGAGACACATGGTACACCGGGGAGCTGCGGTGGTAATATGCCAAATGCCCCAGCAGTTGCCCTTCATCCTTCAGGCCTAGGTGCACACAAGAGATAACTGAGCCCCACGATGCGTATTTTTCACGTCAAGCAAGAGACGACTGCCCCAAGTCCCCCTGGCCCTTAACGAAATATCCGTGCGTCTGGAGGAAACTGTGGCGATCACTGATCACATCCTTCAATTGTTGTATAATTTAATAATGGATGTTGCATCATGCATACCAGCACCCTCCTTGCCAGGTGTTGCCTGGTGACAACAGGTGCCCAGAAACCACCTGTTGGGGTCTCCAAACAACCTGGCCAGGAGACATACTTCTTCTCTTCAAGACATGTAAAACATTCTGACGCTCTCCCAACTTCCCTTCCCTTCGCGCCCAAGCGACCCCAGTCGTGCGCCGCAGCATTTCCACAGCTCTTGGGGCAGTCGTTGGCCATGCACTTGAAGTGCGTGAGCCGCACGCCCGTCTTGGTGAGCTTAAAAATGTCCCTGAAAAGCTGGATTTTCAAGAAACATTGATCTTTTCTTGGTGAATGGAGTGGATAATCCCTGAGGATGCAACAAACAAATTCCTCGTTGAGCTTGAAAACTCTTTCCCCAGAGGCCAGAAAACGAATATAATGGACATTGGACCACCCTGCGAGCAGCTGGTCGGAAACGGCATCCGCCTGGCAGCGTCCTTTAGGCTTTTGCTCCTCGGCAAGGCACGGCGTGTCCGGCGTGTCTTGCAAACGGCGCCCCAGATTGGTTTGGATGCCGTTGGGCACGGGGAACCTGTGGAAGGTGCTAAAAAGACAGAATTGTGTTCTCTCCCACGACCCTGACGTTTGCAGGTGACGAGTGTGTCGGAAGGTGCCCAGGATGAGAACACAACAGTGGCTGAACATGGCTGGATCTCATGTGAACCTCTTCTTCTGAGCAATTAAGGAAGCGAAACCAATCCGCAGAAAAGTTGTATAGGGTAGTTAGGGGCAGTTGGGGTAAGCTGAGCTAAACTTTTCTAGTTGGATTGTAAACATCCACTTGATGAGTGACAGTTCCGAAAAAACTGCCTGGTTGATGCACAACCACTAGCGCCACCAGGCAGTCAGGTAGTCCAAAAAGCTCTGAATTGCGAGATGTCTTCAATCTGTGGTTGATTGAAAAAATCATGAATCATGCGTGACAATCATGATACTCGTCATATAATCATCATGTCATCCAATTTCTTTTTTTCATTCCGCATCCTCGAACTTCATCCTCTCAGGACCTGCTCTTGAAAGCTCTCATTCCCGAACGCGACCATAGGGCGCTCGCCGGGCGACTCCAAGTCGGAGGCCTGCAAGAGGCAAAGCTTCGCATCGGGCAAGGTCTCCCAAGTGCCCTGCCTCCGAGTGACGGCGAGGGAAGACCGGACGCTGCGAGATCCGGCAGTGTCCACGTGTCCTGCTTCAATGACATACTCAGTTACACCCTGGAAGACTAACATGGAACCTGAAACCCCTGGTTGGTAGAGGAAAATCGTCTTCCATGGGACCATGGTCAGGGTCTATGTGAGTTTTTGCGGTGGCCCATGTGGAGCAAACCATGCGCCAAACGAAAATCCGTGCGAATCCGTGCCGCAGCGGCTTGCTGACCCAAGCACCTCTGCTGACCCCTGCAGATCAACACACACACACAACCTAGGACCTTAGGCCCCTTAGGCCTTCCTCAAAACCAGTGAAGCTGTCTCCTCTTCCCAGCTTCATGTGGTTGCATCACAACCCATCACAACCCCTCGCTCGCCCAATTTGGCCCAGCCCGGCCCTGGCCCGAGATGGCAGTCTGACTGAGGAGCTTCCAAACAAGGTTCGCTACGAACGTAACATTTTGGGCATCGCTACGAAGGCATTACTACTAACAATGAAGCTAACGCGAGTATTGAGGCTCATACTGATACTGCCCTAATCTGCCATATCCTGCCCCCACGCTTGGTCAGTGGGGTATTTCAGCCAGGGCCGACTCGGGTTTCCAACCGATGCCCGGTAAAAAGCACGCACACGCACACCAACGCACACACACACACACATGTGCCAGAGGAGAAAAGTAAGAGTAACGGCATGGTTTGTTTCTCGCTGTGCTTCTGGCGGTGACACTCTCTTTCATCCAATATTCCCAACCCTGTACCCTTTGCTGTCGAGAATTGCTGTTACTGTTGGGTCAAGTAGCTCATTCCTCTTCTCCCACTGCAGGTTGTCCCAGGCACACTGGGCGCTCTTCTGACTTCGGATGTAGCACCTCATGGATCGGGTGCTCTGTTGTTAGGTTTCCAAAGCACACAGGTTGCAGGGCTCCCACAGGTTGCAGGGTGATAGAACATGTTGGTACCATCTTTGAGTTGTGATGCCACCACATCCACCACCCATCCTCGGTAAATCTACGTAGGCGCACCACTCCGGCTGAGGTATTATCCAGTACACTCTGACTCACTAACATGGAAGTGGCAAATGGCCCCTTGGAAGACTACTTTCCTTTACGAACAGGTGGTTTTTCCACTGCCATGTTAAAGAGTTGGAGTGTATCTCTGTGGGTCAGTCAGCCTGTAAGCATCCCGAGACTCCGATTGAACATCCGCATGCTGTCAAGGGTCCTGCTATCTTTCAGGTCTTTTGCAAAGCGCCAGCGTTCTTTCTGCCGGAGTAAGAAGAGCGGCCTCTTTGTGCCATCCCCGCTCACCTGGCCGTGCAAAGCCAGGTTTCCAAAGCAATTTCCAAGGTGGCCAGGGGGCCAGGGTAACTTCAAAAAAAGTGTTCATATGTGCATAGCGTAGCTATGTCACTCGTCTTTTTCCAGGCTTTGATGTGGGGATATCGGGTGCATGTGCTGTTCCCTGCAGGAGAACAACACAATCATGCAGTCTCAAAAATCAACTGATGCAAAGTAGACTGTCACTCCCTTGATCTCGCTCGTCCCAACCCCCAGAGTGGGACATCTCTTTAAATTGTTGCAAAAACGACGTGAACAGAAACCGAGCAGGGTCAAGAAGCTGACAAGCTGTGTGAATCTGTTTAACTTGGCCGTGTTATGCCGTCTTAGAGAACCTCAACTCAAGCACAAAACCAACAAAAAGGAATACAGTATATAAACAGAAAAGAAGAAAACCGTCGGACCATCGCCTGTCGGAAGACGACCTCCGGCAGGTCAGTGATGACCTCCGCAAAGGAGCCATTGAACTTGGGCGAGATGCCAGAGACCTGGAGATCGAGACCCGGGGATCTTCGTAGAATGCACCGCTCAATTTAGCAGAGGAGGTCAAGAAGAGAAAACTCCAAGACTGGGGTATTAAGGAGTATTAAGGAATACTCTTGGAGTTGCTCACTCTTAAGACCAGAGGCCAGGAATACAAGACCTCAAATCTGAAAACGAGGGGCTGAAGGTCCACTGGCAGCTCTATAGGGATTTAGTTGGCGCGGATGGTCACAAGGAGTCAGAGCTATAATATACCATCTGCCATCCAGCCAAACACCTAGGAACTACAAGAGGTGCTTCTAGACGACCTGTTCATGTCCCAGCATCCACCTACTTTGTGTTGCACACATGCAGTATGCACCAATATACCACGTAGCCTTTGAAGGCGATCCTGCAAGGCGATTTTACAGTATCTTCTTGTGGCTTCGAGGTGGGCAAGGGGGTTGGAGGTGGTTGGAGGGTCCTGGCAATGTGCGCAGATCTGTGCTTCTTCATGCTTCTCAAACATCTCATTCCGGGGACTCCAGAGTCTGTTGGGTCCAAGGGCTTTCTCCTGAAAGACGGAGGCCCAGTATGATCCCAGTGACCCGAGACAGACTGCGATGGACATAGAATGTGTCGCTCCATTGCTTTCGATGTCCGGTCCAACCACTCGGCCTTCACTGCCCGTTGATCCTTCAGAAAGCTTGCGGGCCGCCATGGCTCCATTAAGGGTGAAATCCTCTTCAGGTCAACTACGACTGACTGCTGACACAGGCTTTGGACACATCAGGGCACAACTGCAGATCCCTAATCCGTGTGTTTCAGTGAACCTAATATGTTTTGAACATGTTTGAACACTTGAAGTCTCCTTTGGAGTCAACAACGTGTGCGTTCTATTGCTTCTCTGTTCCCTACTTGCGCGGGTGCTGTTCGCTGAGTCATGCGTTCCTCCAGTTGCTTCTTAACACGCAGGGCGCATGTGCCTCCCGGGTCCATCGCACTCCCATCACCGCGGGTCAAGGGTCCGGTCGCGGGTCAAGGGTCCGGTCTGTCTCCCCAGCTCGAGGCTGGTGCTTGTTCAGCTCACGAAACACTTCCATTGGTGGCCATTTCTGCTTGTTTTTGGTGGCTGCCAGCTCAGTTTGCACAGCCGCACGGTCGCTGGCCAGGGTGGAAACCAGCACGACTTCTGGCACGCAGGAGCCACACCAAACTGCAACGAAACAAGAAAGACCGCGAAGAACAATGTTCAGAAATCGGTTGTGGTCCAGTCCAGTCTGGCTGTTACCCCGTCAGTGATTTTGTGCCCCTATCTAACTACACCAGTTCCGCTTCAGTGAAGCCACCTGGTGAAGCCACCATGGAACATGGGGCCGGCGGTATCCATCAGAATGACTGTCAAAGGGAGCCAAACGATAATGACGTCGGCCTTTGATGGCCAAAAGGCTGTACAGAGCTACCCAAAGAACCGATGGAAAGACAAGATTGGAGAAGTGCTTAGATTCCTGATACAGTAACGCATCTCAATGCTGTACAATGATCATTCATCGAAGGCGGGCTCAGCAGGCAACTAAGCCAGCTCCAGTAGGAAACCAAACCAGGCAATTAGCCAACATGACCTCAGGAGGAAACACACAAAACCTATCATACCGAATCATACCCCCTATAATTACATATGACACACTCGAGACTAAAACAAGTCCACGGAACCTGCTTTTGTACAACGATGCTACGGACCTGTTTCTCTCACGCTCAGTTGCCCAAAGCACTAGAAAGCTTCCTGAACTTCAAAGCCGGGCAACCTTGCTGAAACATGCTGAAACCAGCGCGCTGCCAATTAGGCCTTCCGCGCAGTACCTGGCACATGCTCAAAGAAATGGCATTCACATGGAGACGAGGCTTTCTTGTCCCTCTCATAGCTAGCTGCCAGATATATCGAGCCATCCAAATCCGTTAGTGAGCAAGCACACTTCTGGGATCTGCATTATGCTCTATTCACTATTCGCAGGTGTTGCAAAGGAAGTGCCCCCGCTTTCCTGCACCCTCGGCCCTCGGCTCAACGTTTCGCAAGAATTTGGCTTCACGGGGACTCAGGTGTTTCAGTAAGACTCATGGCCCCAATAGCTTCAGCATGTCCAAATTCCAATAAGACGCTGGCTTCAATGACCACGGGGCCACTTTCCTTGTTCTGCAATGTTCTCGAGTTGATCATTTCTGCAAGAAGCTCCCTGCCAGGCTGTAAAAGGGCTCAAATATAGCCCAAATACAAGATTGTCCGGGGAGGCCAGGTGACCCTCTTAGAGTTCAGAACTCCAAGAGCGACCTTCCATGAAGAAAAAGCCGTGTCCGAGGCCGAGGCTCGAGACCCATATCGTTGGGTGAAGTCACAATTGAAATGCTTTAAAACAACATGCAGCACGCAAAACCTCTTCAGAAGATGGGAACCAGTTCTCCATCTTGGTCCGTCTATGGGGACGCGACGTCCGTGCGCGTTCAAAAAGAACCGGGCCTCGAAGCAAACTTCCGTCCCCGGGGCCCGCCAAAGCGATGCCTTTCGGGGCGCCTGGCGGATGGAAAGAACTTCCAGGCTGATTTGAAGAAGCGAGTGCCCACGGGTGCCAAGTGTCAGAGGATTTGTGCGTGCATGTGTCTGGATGAAACCATAGTGGCCTTATAATGCTTTATAGAGTATTTAAGCCATGGCCACTTGCTCCTCTCCTTCACTAATCATTACTATTGTTCATAGTTTGCAGCTGCCTCACAGACCTGCGAACCGACTGCTGACCGTGGCTCAGGCCATTTGGCAAGCGGGCAAACTTCTTTGGTGCTGCGTCACAAACTCAACCAGCACAACCAAACTTTCCACTTGCATGGTTCTTCCTACCTGACCAGAAATCTGGGAACGCTCCTTGAATTGAATCCCGTGAAGGCAACCCCCCGTTCAACTCCAGACTCACCCTCCATCGAGCATCGCCCACCTTGAGAGTTCAAAGCCTCCTGAGGCACCAAAGTGGCATGCTCGCTGCATGGGATGAAGTCCACCTCCGGCTGTGCCACTGGCTGCGCGACTGGCTGCACTGATGGTTGCAGCATCTGTGCTGATTCCAGTGGCTGTAGCAGCTGTGCTGATTCCAGTGGCTGTGGCTGTTGTGGCTGCGCCTGTGGCATGGTAGGCTGCAGGTGTTGTGCTGGCTCCACTGGGTGCATGGGCTTGACTGGCTGCGGCTCCAACGGCTTGACAGGCTGCCCGGGCTGCGAGGGCTTAAGGGGGTCTACATAAAGAGAACCGCTGCAGGGGTGAGCCTTCTGGCTTTGCATGAGGCAGCCACTGGTCTGGCTCATGGGTGGCGGGCCTAGCATCTGGTGATCCTGCTGAATGGTGCGGCCAGTGTTGGGGTCGATGTTGGACACATCCACGTCGTCGACCCCGTGTTGCCTCCAACGCTTGGTCATGGGATCAAAGTAGAAGGTATTGTCAGGCACCTCCAGCTTGGGCTGCTCGGGCATCCGGAGGGGCCGCAGCACCACACCAAGAAGACCAGCACCTGGTGATTTCAGTTTGAGCTTAGGTGGATCAACAGGACAAAAAAGAAGTTTGGTACGCATCAGGATGTATATTATGTAGAATCTTGATTAACACTCCTATTTGGAATACCTCTGCCAATGAATTTCAATTCAAGAGTCGACATTCCATCAATTGATAGATAAATAAAGAGATTTAAGTTATAAATTATGAATAATAATATAGATTGGATCAGATCAAAATAGATCAAATCAAATTAGGTTAGATCAGATTGGATAATTAGATTATAGATTGATGGATAGTAAGAGAATGTAAGAAACATGAATCATCTATCCCAATCCTTCTTGCCAAGCGTCCCCAGGACTTCACCCCTTGAACCAAGGACTTCACCACTGACTGTCTCACGCTGGCCCCGAGCTCCGGCACCGCCGGTGCTGGCTCCGGCCACGGCTCCGGCAGCGCCGTGCGAGCGGCGGGTGGCGCGGCCGGCGCGCTGGAGGGGATGAAGACGATGCCAGAGCGATTCACCTGTTGAAGCTAAGCAATTTTTGAGGGAAAAGGCTTGTTGGGGCTGGTTCGCGGCTACGTACGTGTCCTTGTTCCCCATCTATCCGAATTTGGGAGTGTACAGCGCTGCCCCTAGCGGCGCCATGCGGAACCAAAAAGCTCGACACATCGATGAACTGCTCGATGGCCCTCGATCAGCGACTGCTACTCAGCATCACCGAACATCGCCTCTGCAATCTGATCTGGTGGAACTCGTCTTTCAGCCCATTCCTGGCCGGAAATGAGCTTTCGGCCAGGTCCCGGCGGTGGAAATGTCTCGTAGATGCTAGGTGAACCACTACTAACTCCATTCAACTCCTCCACAGTGCCAGAACGATTCACAAAGAATGCCCTACCAAGCAACGTTAATCCAGCTTCTGAATGCAAAACTGCAAAACACTCCTTCTAGGGCCCCCAGCCCTATACATCAAAGACTTGCTGACAATTCTCTGGCGCTGCAGGCTTTTTCCACACTTGAAGGTTTCGTATGGCTGGGTTCATGGCTTTCCGTTCAGGCCCGCTTGCAGTCTCCGGGGCATGCAAACTCTTTGTTTCTTTGTCGGCCTCTCGTTGTGCTGAATTCATTCCAGTCAATTGTGGATGAGTGGGCGATGAGAAGTAGGGTCATCACCGAGTCATCCGTAAAAACACACAATTCATCCCCGTTAAAATTAGGGGGGAGGGGTCAGACCCCACTTTCTGTAGTATAAACCTGTCGGGTGCAGCAAGACTTCTTACAAAAGACAGAGGTGCATCCAACTGTCAGGCATACAAAATGAAAGGGCCAACAAGCATTATTTTTGGCCATTGCCCCCCATCAATCTATAGAAAATGTGGGGTCAAGCACTGAGATTGCTGCGCCCTTCATTTTGTAAGAGCTGAATGCTTTCTACTGTTGGTACATCAGACTCGAACCAGTTTGGGAGGCCCCCAAAAGCGACTCATTTTACAAGGAATCACAATTCATTTTGTAAGGAGACAGCTGCAGTCCTTTTTCCCTAGCAGCATAAGCCACGCCAATGGTTTTTGTAAGGATTAGCCTCCCAGTTTGCCAATTCAACCTACAAAATTACTGTTTTTTTTCTATTCCATGTTGTCGAGCTGTCCTTGCACTCCAATCGCTGATAATTGTTTCCAGCAGTTTCCCCATCTAGAACTGTATTGGTCCTGATTTCTACAGGACATTGGGTAAATTGGGCAACTCATGGCTCACAGGATTGTTTTTGAACTCGGGTCACAGGGTTGCTTATTTCTTACAAAATGGTGGTTTCTTACAAAATGCAATGTTTCATCTGTGTTTGATTTTCCTTATAGAATGCATTGGTGCATCCACCACATAGTTTATGCATCCAACCATGAGGCAGAAGGACAGACATCATAGACTCTTACAAAATGAGTTTGCTCCTAAAACACATGTCTTATAAAATGACAGGATTTAATCTTACAGCTACAGCCACCCCTCAAATACTTACAAAATGGATACTTATAAGTTCTTACAAAATGGGTACCCCTATTTCCCATGATTTTCTTACAAAATGATAGGGGTACGACCCCTTGATTTCTTACAAAATGACCCTCTATAAACGGTTTATATGGGGCTTGACCCCTCCCTTTTCACAGGGAAAATTTCAGTGGGGATCACAATTCCATGACACTCCATGTCTAAACCTAGAATTTTCATTAGATACCATTAGGCTGGTTTTAATCGTCCACGTTTTCGGCCGTTTTTCGATGTACATGGAGTCCCTGGGATCCGTTGGCGGATGTCCGATTGTTGAGTACGGTAGTCCGTGCGAATCAAACACCCATGTCCTTGCGAATCAACGATAATCCAATAAAGGAACCATGGTGGTATATGAGGGTCCATGATCATCAACGTATCATGTTTTATTTTGGATTCGCCCGTGTTCCACCGCCCGCGTAGGATAATGATCTTCAAAAGCAATCCTTCAGTCTCCGTCTCTCTCCCCTGCGCAGGCCTGAATGCTAACGCCTTGTGGTAGGACGTCTCTGGCCTTTTGATGGGATGGATGTCAACATATGTCAACAAGACTTAGTGAGATGGATGGCTTGCCCTCCCAAGTGCTGCACACAGCCACATGCACAAGAAGAACATCAAATCACCGAATGTGGATGCGATCTAATACCAAGATATATATATATATACTGTAATACGTTTAATTTTGGCCATTTCCGGGAGCTTTGTGGGCTTGGATTACAGGGGTATACTAATTCTGACTTGACCTTAAGCCGCAATGAATTCAAAAGACTTGTTCTACAACCCAGGGTGGTGCTGGCCAAGTACAACCCCACAAAAGAATCCTGATAAGGCAGCCGCAATCGCGAGAACCTGGGTGTCACATCCCCCCGAGCCTCCAGGACTCACCAACTCACCCTGAGCGCACAGCTCTCACCCTTGCCTTCTGCCCCAAAGCCAGCAGCGCCCCCAGCAGCTCCAGCTCGCTGCTGCTCAAGGGCCCCGAGCCCAGTGACGACCAGAAGCCTTCGGTGGCTGAACCGCCGCTTGCCATGGGCGCAGCGAGCGAAAAGAAAAGCGTCGGTGGCTGCTTTGGGCTTTCCGGATGATGGCTTGGGCGATAGTAGGCAGGTTGACAAGTTCACCGGGCCAGGCTTGATGACAAATATGTACTTATTGATGCGGCAAATATACTATAATATGCTACTCTGCCAATGTCAGTTTCGAACAAAGTTGGGTTATATAACTCTGTTGTTGCATGGGCCATGCAAAACTGGTTCAAGGTGCATAGCCGCTGAGGGAGTTCAACCAATCTATGTCAGCATTTCGAGCCATCACAGCTGCAAATACTCACAAATTCCGGAGAATCCACCTTCTGGCAACGGTGACGAAAGCGTGGACGAAGACACGGTGTCTTGGAAGGTTGATGAAGCTTGACCCATGAAGTTCATGAATGTTCCAAGAAAGTACTTGACCATCTACACTTACAGTAATGATACCACGGCAGCTTGGGGTCAGCGCTGATGGTTGCATCCCGGTGGTTGCCATCCATCCATGCATCCATCCATCCATCCGTCCGTCCGTCCATCCGTCTCCGTCGACGGCGAGAGGCCTCTCCATCTCATCCTGGAAGCGAAAGCCGTCGCCGTCCACCGCGTCCACCTGGCGGCCAGCGTCAGCGTCCACGCCACGACAGAGATGGATGACATTCCTCCGAGAAAAAAAGAACTCACTACTAGGAACAAGAGGACGCGCCGCTATTAGTTAGTAACAAAGGGCATCGCTACGAACGGAGCAAGGACGCTACTAGTAGCTCCTGCCTGCATTACTAGCAAGAAGCTACGAGTAACAAGGGCATCGCTACTAGTAACAAAGGGCAAGGCAATGGTGGAAATCAACAGCTGGATATTCTTCCTTGAGGTTAGCCAGCAGGCTGGAAGACAATCGGAACAAATCGGAACGTGAAAAATGAGTCTGCAAATGTTGGCTCCTCCACTCCGGATGTCTGTCAGACTTACTGAGGTAGACAAGAGTTGACCCCATCGAACACAAAGTCAATCTAGGATGACAGCAAAAGGCTGCGGTTGCCAAATGCTATGGCTGACCTGGGACCTATAGGCGTGTCGCTGCAATGACCCCGAGCTAGGTGTCTCACGATCTTGGCGCTGATGCCTTCGCGGTACAGCTCCTGTCTTTCAGCACCAGGAAGCACGCTGCACAGACTTCCATCGTGACAGGTGGGCCGGCACAAAACAAACACTGTGGTTGGGTGGCCCCCACATTGCAAACGATGAACGGTTTGCATAGCAACACCTCGGCACTCATGTGCACAGCAAAGGGGGATACAATGCTTCCCTCTGACAAAATGAAAGGTTCCAACTTGGAGTAGGGGTTAGCATAAGCACCACTGGAAAAGGGCCCTTGTTGCTGTGAACTGAAGTTGGCAACCAAGGTCAAAGGAGTGCTTACAAGTACACTTGAATGTCACAAGGTCACGTATAAATATATTAAACACCAAACATATCCCAAAAACTTCACCCCATGTATGGCATACATATTCCCGTACATGGAGTGTCTGGGGTATATATTTAACACGAACAACACGACTCAATTGAACTATAATTATAATGAACTATATATATAGAACTCCAAAAAAAAGGAGGACGGCCATAGCCAAATACCGTTAACTGACAGGCCACAAAACACGGGGAATACTCACAATGGTTGACACAAAAGGTACGATGTCACCGCTGACATCTACTACAGTGGCTTCAAACAAAATCGCACACCTGTCAGTCCACATCAATCCACAGTCCACATCGTATGGTCTCAATGGAGAACTCCGCATCAATCAAACGAAATCACTGTGCTTTTTCGGTTTCTCTGTATCGAATAAAGCCAATCAAATAGATCTGACTGATAACACCCCCCTACCTGGATGGTTCAACATCTCCACATGAAGGGTTTTGTTAACCAACTGTCAACTACTGCTCACCAGAAAAGAAGGCAATGGCCCAAGCTTCTAATCTACAAGATCTCTTTGCTTGGCTGCGCCACTTGGAAGGTGAACAGTGCATGAAAATCGCTTCAATCCACCTGGTCCCCTGTAAAGTTGCCCAAACGCCCCCGGCGCCACGCCACCGCCACGCCAGGCAGCCCCACATGCAAAGCATGTCGTAACCTCGAAGGTCGCCGCATCTGGCTGATCACAAAGACCTACAGAACTGGAGGAGTGGTCAAAGAATGTCAGAGACCAACATCCGTTTCAACATGTTTTAACCGTGTCATGTGCAAGCATCATAGAACATGACCACCAAAATAAAAGAACATGGTACCGTTCGAAGGTCCATCTTCTACCCACATTTGGCCAAAGGTATCGTGTGCCGCCCGTCAAACCGGCACCAGGAGCGCACAGTCGCACTGGGCTCCCGAACATTCTGTCCTGGATCACCCAATGCTTCAGGAGAGTCGGCGGAGGAACCTCGCAGGCTCATAGGCTCATGGGGTTCATGGTGAGCCCGAATAAATAATTATACAAAATCGACCAGATGCGAATCCTTTTACAGTACTATACGCAGGTGCTTGCATTAAATTCATCTCACCAATCCTGGCTATTCCTGAAGCGTCACTCGCTTTTTTGAACCGCATTCATCCATGCCGAGGCCGTCGCAGAAACGCCGCCGTTCTGGGCCAAAGCTCACCTCCTGGGGCACCCGGTGACCCGCCAACGACCACGGCCACGGCGATACGGTGCGGCCGAAACGGTCTGTGTGTGGTGTGGGTCGAAGCCTGGAAGTTCGTAGGGTGAACCTCCAGGATGATCCAGGAAGGGAGTAACGGTAGGTTCTATATATATATATATCCATGCCATGAAGTGCGTATTGGATCGTATTGGAACTTGTCAAGGGCTTCCCCAAAAAAATCAACAAATGACTTGCTAGAACCTGATGGATCTGTTGGTTGAAGATGGTTGAAGTGCATTTATACTTGGATGTTTGGACTGGCAACTGCTGAAACCACAGCACTCATGTAACTGATGCCTTGGAAGTTGTCTTTCTATGTGCAGTGAGCCTCCATCCTGTCCATATCGGGGCGTTCCCGAGCGTTCGAAGCGTCCAGCTCGTCAAGTAAGGTCCCATTATTGTTCAACTGTTCTGTCCAGTGGCTTCTTTGGGGACGTGTCCTGGCAGCCTCCCTCTTTTTCCTTCTCATCCTGTCTCTGTCAAATCCCAAATGCAACAAAACCGTCCAAACGGAGGGACGTGGAGAGAACATGAGAGAACAACACCTGTGTAGTGTAGCAGTTCCAAAAACAGCATGTGAGCCGGCAAGTCGAGTTCCGCAAGCACGAAAAACGCGCCAATTCAGTGCTCAGATTGCTTTCTTCGAAACGTTCTTAGGAACTTGCTTCGCTTGGCCTCCGTGCATGGAGATCCTGTGCGTCCAGCTCCGGCCAGCGGAAGAGGCGCGCCCGTGCCGCACTGGCCTTGCCACGGGGCGCCGGAACTCGAACATGGGGTGGAGCGCCCGTGCGATCCGGCATTCTCCAAATGAACATGGGGTGAACATGGGCTGAGACCTATTCTGCTTGATGATTGGAAGTTTCAACATTTCAACTTAGGCGCAACCATCAAATCGAATGTCAAAGATGGTCCGGTTTTCCCAGTTGATGCTTTTGGTGGAACGTTCCAAAACAACGGGCGCCTATGTTTGATGGTCCACGATGATATCAAGATGATGGCCGTCTCAGCGATGACGATCAGCTGCCCCCACCAATGTGAAGATCAGTTAATGGTGAACAAGAAAAAGGGTCTTTATGAGTTTAAAAGTCTGTCAAAGGGAGTAGTGGGTGGTCCCCAAAGAGTATTCATGGCACGGTTTCCAATACAATTTCTACGTGGGGGTTTACGCACTTCTATCTATTTGGGGGGTAAAACATGTATGCTTCCAAAGTTGTAGAGATTCCCCCCGCTAATTCAATCTGAGGCCGTTTTTTCAGGCCGCAACCCAAATTTAACTCGTGCTTTGGATGAAGCACTTGGAGGGTTTTGACCACCAATCAGCAAAGGCTGAAGTGTAATAGGTCAGACTTTCCCCGTGAGCCATGTTCCACTTTCTGCCCACTGGCTTCCGGTGGTTCAGTCCAACTGCCAGTCATCAAGGCTCACATGCCTGGACTGAGTAGGCTTTCTATCAGACTGACCCTGCAGATTTAGTAGCTTTTGTCAACCCAAATCAATGGTGGAGAACGAAAACAAAGCTGAACTTCTCTATCTTCTCTCACATGCTCGTACCGCTTCGCATTTTGTTGTTGTGTATCTACCATCATCTACTCATCTACCCCTCCAAGAGAGCAACTTCCATACGTACCAGTGGTTGACTGGTGCATTCGTTCATGGGTTGTCTGCCTGCAGGAAGTGGGTTTGCTCAGACCAGTCACTGCAGAAAGTATATATAACAACAATCTAAGGCCCTGGACAATGGCTGCTTGCTCTTCGGCAGAGAGGTGGCCATCATTCTCATAGCCCTTCCAAAAGAAACATGCTGTGGTGGGTTGGTGCACCACGAGCTTTGGATCGAAAGCTTCCTCATTGGATGTCAAATTAATAAAGTCAGTGAGAATGTAATGGATCTCACGGGTATGTCCCCCAGCCAACACGGCTATTTAAAATTGGATTGCAGCCAACACGGCTTTCCGTGAGACAGAAGGGAACCGGATCACTGAAGCAGCACAATCTACAGTAATGTCGTAACAATGGCCTTATATAGATAAGAATATGTCTGTCAAACATCAACCAAACCATACCAAACCGCTCATGGGTTGCATTTCTATAGCAAATGAACATGGGGCGAACGAGGCCTTGTCTTGTGCCCAGTCGATGTTCATGGCCTTGTGAAACGGAAGGCCGAAGAATTCCATGGACTGGACATGACCGAACCATCTGCAAACGAGTGATTTTTCTCTCACACAGGACCACTACTGTATAGGTCTTTTTGTGCTAATCCCGTGCTGAAAGGTCTGACAGGTCTTCATGAGTTTCATGATGATGTTTCATGTTATAGTCAGTCATGTACAAAGCTTCTAAGCGCCCTGCGGTGTATGTGATGGTCGCCTCATGGTACTTCCTGCAAACAGCTGAAGAAACCAGCGAGCTCGCGAACTCGAGCAGCCAGCTCGAGCCCCTGGTTGCGGCTATGGCGATGATGGCTCGCAGATTGTAGGACCAATCCTAAGGTCCTGAAGCTCTTAAACTTCCTAAGTTCCAATCCACTGTCACAGCTGTATATCATCCCAAAAGGGTTAATATTTCAAGTCTCATTCTTGGAGAATATTGCATGTGCTCATTCTGCTGCCTCTCAAGACCTGTCAAGATTGTATTCCATCTACTCAAGAGGATGGTTGAACTGCAGCAGTAGCAAGGTCTTCCAAACCAGTCATCGTCATTGAATATCGCCAAGTGTTCACTTGGAGAGAGCCATCTTCAATCAGAACCTACTACTATAACATCCATCCATGCCCTTAGTTTCGAGTGTCGCGAAACCCCAAAAAAACGAAGATCTCTGTGCTTGGACGTCAGCCACGAAACTAGCCACGAAAGTTCTAGCCTTGTGGGTAAACGCCCAACACTGGACCCCGAGAAATGCGATCTTCTTGAAACCTCTTCGGTCCCTGCTGTCGCATCCCTCGCGATCGATTCTGGTGGCTGAAGAACACTCGTCATCTCGCCAAGGCTCTTGTGCAGTGCGACCGTCTCCTCGTCCAAGCCCAGAAGATTGTCCTGGACTTCTTGCATGAGTTCTGTCCCACTTTCGGGCACAAGTGCCAAGTTCGTCCTCAAAGCGTTGGAACATGTTTGTTTGAAAACCTTATACTCCTTCATCGTCAGCTACAAACGAGATGCAACTAGCCGTCGGTGGAATGAATGGCTCAGCCATCAGTCCGACATTTCCACTGCATGGCGTGGAATTGGGGCTCGTGCAGCAGAAGGGCCACCTGCAAAGGGGCAGGTGTGGTCTGTTCAAACCTCTTCTCTTGCCCTACAGGCCGGCAACTTGGTTTACCAACACCCTACCAAATGTATGATAAAACTTCCATGAAAACCAAGAGCACATTGAGGCAATTGATTCCTCCCTGCCACAGATGTTTGTCATTTTGCTCGGCGTTGACCCACTGCCACACAGCCCCGGCCAACAAATTTCACAGCGAATTCTCTGGCTCTCTTCACATGTGTGCCCAGCGGCTCATCTCCATGCCCCCCTCGGTAGTCTCAAGAATCCTTCCGAAACGTTCGCACAGCATACGATCTCCACCAACAAGAGGAATCTATATATCCATCAAACCGTTACCTTCCAATCCTTCCAGGCTCTCAGGGAACAAAGGAATGACGGCCACCTGGCCACCTACATCTGTTACCAGCAGGTATAGGATTTTTATGATTTTTATGGCATTTTGCAGCAACAAGGACCGCCAGCAGCAGTCCTTGTCCCTCATGCCGTAGTCATGAAGTACGAACTGGCTTGAGCGGCAACCAGCAACTTGTCCCACACATCCACCCGATTCCGGCCTCCGCAAAAGGCCCTCCACCTGGTGACCGGTGATGAGATAAGGCGAATTGTCCGTCATGCGAGTCCCCCGGAAACCGAACCGTGATCGAACGAGGAAAACGAAACACCTGGAGTCCAGGAGGTTTCGGAACCGGGGTTTCAAATTGGTCTCAACCTGTGAAACAGGTTCCGTATGGATGCTCACTAAGCTCCTGATTCCAAAGAGGCAGTGAGAAAAGAGCGGAAACCCACTTATCCATGTTTATCTTTTTTAATTAATGAAAACAGGGGACCTGCATGTCAGTGTGTTGTAGGCCCCACCAATGGCACCGACCGAACCTATCACAAAATCACATCTTCCTGCACGTCAGACCTGCCCGAGTTGTGCCCCAAACCATGTGCCGGGTTCGAATCCATTGGCCCTAGGCCCTAGGCGCGCAAATCATCGCAACTCCGCAACCTCTGCAGATCAACCCAAGGCCAGCCAGCCTGGCTGCCCTGTCCCGGTCCGAACCGTAACAACCATGGCCTCAAGGATGCCAAGGCTGCAAATGCCAAGGCCAAGAATGGCCAGGTGCCCGGACGCATCTGATTCCGGACCCTGACGTCCGGATCCTCAAAATAAGGTGAATTTAATTATGATCTGAAAACTTACAGGAAATATGCCATGATCCTAGCAAATATATATATTGTTTGGAGCCACTGATGACCTGGTTGTTCATCCCCCGGATCTGCTGTGTGTTCCCCAAGCTGGCCTTTTTGTGGTTCGGAGGGAAAGGTTCCCCTCTTTTTGGTGCGAAACTGAGGTTCCGAACCGGGAGAACCGCTCAGCTACTAGGCCATTCAACCGCTCAGGTGGACCTGAAATGGAAGGGGAGCTACCGTTCTGAATCGATCTTCTTGCCATGATCCGTGTTCGATTCGGCCGCTCTGCAGCGCTTGATGCGGGCCAGCGTTGAGGTCAAATATCGCTGGGAGATGTGGTGAAGAGGTTTGGGAGTTCAACTTCTTTTCATGGATGACCCCCTCCTAAAGTTGCAAACTATTCAATTTCATGCAACGTCGGGGATCTATTCTCGAGACTGAATCACCAATGGAAAATGGTGGCGGCAAAACTCAGCCCATATCAACCCGTGACACTTCTGGAAAGGGCACTCTGCAGAGGATGCGGGGTCTATCCCAGTGAGAACCACCTACCTGTTCCAATGTGGCAAGTGGAACAGTCACCCGATTTCCATGAACCTCTCCTGTGATGGGAAGATAGTCCATTGTCTGCATAGCTATCCACAATGAAGGCCTCCACCACCTCACCACCTTGTATACCACCTCCACACCGCTTCACTCAGCTCAAAGCCTTAGCCAAGACTAGGCTTTTCTGTAGGGCCGTGCTTTGCTGCTCCTTGTCGTACAAGGCCTCAACCAAGACCATGAAGCACGGCATGCCGTGCCGAATGCCGCATGCCGTTGAAGCCGCCACACAAACCAACACACGTCAACACCCAAGTGACCAATCAACATATAGCAACGACCCTTCAAACCACAGCGCCCCTTTTCTGCCGCAGTCTTGTTCTTTCAGCTGTCACGCGCAGCGGTTCGCTCCGGATGCTCTGGGCTCCGGATGCTCCGCGTTGAGTTGTCGCCGACGTGGACCCAAAACCAGGGCGCTGGCGCCGTGTCGACGTCGTTGCTCCCTGTGGTTTTACGCGCAACGCCCCCAAAACGAGTGATAACACACATCCGTTCCAAACTGACATCCGGTCCAGCCCCCTCCACTGTGAGGATGTATGTTTGCACATGTTTTTGGTTTCGAGCATGTTCAGTAATGACGTCTGATCTGTTGCTTGCTTGCTTGCTTGCTTGCTTGCTTGCTCGCTTGCTCGTGTCATGCATAAACCGACTGTGCACTTCACAACCTGTGTTCCTGGTCCCCTGTGCCCCCTGCTCGAGAGAGACGCGCCCCTCTCATGCGCTCTCATGGCACGGCATAGTTGGTGACGAACTCCTGCGGGCACTGCGGACGACACCAGCGACTACTCGGGAGGACTCCGCACGAGTGCACGGAGAGACTGGGACCTCAGAGCTCACCCTCTTTGAGACCTCGGGTTGAGGTCACGAGGTCACTGGGTTGAGGTCACGAGGTCACTGGATGGGACCTTTCAAAGGTCACGACTTGAGGAAGCTGAGAGATTCGTGGAGACTCGGAAAAAATAACGGAGTCCGCACTGACGGACCTACTTGTCGCGAGCTCAAAGCAATCACATCAACTCAGAAACATCTTACGCTGCTACGAGCCGCTATACGAAAATTATCTCTACTAACCTGGAGGCTTCCCACGACATGGTGGAGACTTGAGGGATCTTCTATTTCTGTCGACGGTCCAATCGCTGTTCGTCGTAGACGGTCCACTCTCTCCTGTAGTTTCGTCGTGTCATGACGGGCAGGATCTTTCACCTCCGAAACCCCGTCGGAGAATGGCGTCGTCACAAATGACGAGGCAAAGTCAACGACTCTTGACCCATGACAAGATGACAAGGATGAATCCATGTGGCTGTGGGTCAAGCCGACCTTGGTTGACCTACCTGGGAGGGCAAGCAACAGTTTTGGGGCTCCAGATTTTGATGCCCATGTGTAAGAACACGGGGGCACAAGGATCTCTGTAGCAGCTTTGAGGCCTCCGTTGTTTGAGACAGGCGGAAACACTCCATGTCTGGAATATAATACGTACACCCTCACCACCACTTCCTCCAACTGATGACCTCCGTGGCTCAAAGTTGCAACCAAGTAACTTCTCCACAGAAGCTGTACCATGTCTCCTTCTGCTCGTTGCTTCCCTTCTGGTAAGCCCTTGGCCCAAGACACCACAGGAAGGAGCTTGCGGAAGCTAGCCAACGTGAAAAGGAAGGGCCACAAAAGAAGACACATCATTTTATTGATTTAATGCATATGCATAAAAAAGTGATTGAATGGATTGATCATTTGATCTCTCAGCCCAAAATTTGTCAAAAGCACGATGTGCTCCTCTCAGCGACCCGGAACCCTTGGTCTGTGTACAAGGTGGTCTTTGAAGGGGTCCATGTTCAAGATCTACCTTAGTTTCTTGGCGTGTGCACCACTTTTGGATCAGGCGCCACACCACTCAGTGTCCTTGTTTCGCGTGCTTGTTTCACATGCCTCCCTTCCATATTGTTCCTCGGCCGCCTTTGCGACCTCACATGGCACCCACCTTAAATCGACAAAGGAGCTTTATTCGTTCCACCAGCTTGGCCTTCTCAGGATCCAAGCTCTTTGGCCTCCTCAGGGAAAGCGTTGACCAGTTCTCCTGGATCACCCAAAAAGATCCCATTACTGGACACACATGGATGAAGGATCAACAAATGTCCGGCATTCGCGGAGAGGAATTCACTGTTTAAACTCATGACTACTCTCATGACTCATGGGAGTATCGGATATCTCACCGCTGGTTTTTCCACCGCCGCCTGACACGGCTTAGTGCTTCGTTCGCGGCCCGACCATGCGTTGCTTCTCGATGGATCCCCCCGACGGTGCGAACGAGCAGGACCCCTTCATCCGTCCCTTCGGACGTAGTTCTGGGACCGAACGAAGAGCTTCAGCTGGTAAACCAGTGCGAACTCTGTGAACTCATGCATCCAAGCAAGCGACATGTTCTAGCTCTCTACGTGCCTCTTATGAAAGAACCGCACTTTCTAATTCTATAGAGGCCGCATGGGAACGATACAGTACAAGTAGTGGACAGTCACCCAACTTCGCGGAAAGTCAGCCGGACAAGAGTGAAACACCATGGCCAGGCTATGTGACACATCCTCCCGCCCAAACTCGAAACTGCATATGTTCATGCCTACGATGGGACAAAGCAATCATGTTGATTTCTTGTTGTTCGGTTGTTGAATCACCATGGCCACGCATACTCCAGGTAGTGTTGTGAAGCCATTTGTGTGTTCATAGTAAAATGATCGAGTCATGATATATTATGAAACTTATACACGTAGGAAAGAAGTGAGGTTAAAGGTTAATGTTCATGTAGGTTTCGTGCCTGCGCGAGTCGCAGCAATCAAGATCCCACGTCCAAGCTCAAGAATATGATGCCTGTTCACGCTACAAGAAAATGGTCTTATCTAAGGTGCAGGGGCAACAAAGTTCAATAAAGAAAAGTATATACGAGACATTACGAGACACACTTAACCCCGGTACCCAAGATGATAATTAGACTAACTTGCTCCGGACATTTCTTGCAGCCCTAGGTGTTGAAAACATCCCCAGAACGTCTGCAGCGAGCCCTGTGCTCTGGATGGCCCCCGTGGTGTGTCCACAACTTGACAACTCCGTGACCATCTTCGGCATGCGTTTCTTCTGCGCCAAGCATCTTCTTTGCACCGCCGTACCACGCCTGAAGAACTACAGCTGCAGAAAAAGTGGACAGACAGCAACCACCTAGTGAGTTGCATATTACATAGGCTCTCTCTCTCTCTCTCTGCAGCGTCTGGATGTCAACAGACAGAGGAACATGCTAATCGTCTGCCACCCTGGGCAGGGATGAGGAGGCAAAGGTTACATAGGCTCTGTGAGACAATTATTCTCCAAGGTCTGTTTCTGTTCCACTTTCGTCTGGGGGAGTGGTCACAAAAAAGCCCGCACCCCGCTTGTTCGTGCCCGAACGTTCCCGCTGGCCGTGTTTGCTTGATCTTAAGAGCTTAGGCTCCCTGGTTGTCAATTTCTCTCAAGAGTCTCTTGTGTCACTCTACTTGTTTCATGACACATTCTTCTCAACATTAGTGGTCGTTGAGCGCTACGGGCTGCAATGCCAAGAGGCCCACATCTGATACCTCAGCAATCAAAGTCATGCAACACGCTGGGATGGCATGCCATTACCCACCGAGCATTCGTGCATGCACACATGTTACATAGTTTCTGGAATTTCGACCTTTATTGATTTCATGGGTTTTGCCCAAAGGAGTTTCGACGACAAAGCCAACTCAAACAATGGTTTATATATAATGGTTTTGGAAGGCTAGGGTAATTTATAAGTGGGAAAAAAAGAAAACTATACTTTTCCGGTCATGTCTTTGGGAAAAAAACCTGGGTGCCGTTCCGAATCAGCTGAGCAAAATAAAAAGTCGGCCTATATGTATCTATATTACATATTTTATAATAAGATATTACTCAATATATGAAGGACCAGTCCAGAAATCCACTACCCCCCGGGAAGATCGACCCGAATCCATCGTGTTCCCTTTCCTTTCAGCCCAATTTGCCAAGCCACATCATCTTCCCTGGGCTGTTGGTGTTGGGCGGCCTCCCCGTCCATGGTGCCACCTTCAAGCTTCGTCCTGCGGCGCCGAAGTGCACCGCATCGATCGATCCGAAGAGGATTCGCCGGACAGTTGTGAGGGCCTGCTGAAAAATCCCCCCAGGACTAAGTAGATTAATCTCTGAGCCATGTGTTGGAGGTTTTGGACCAGTGCGCAATTCAACATGCCCAATCAGATGCTTGGGACCAGGGTGAACTTCTGAACCAGCCGGCCCCGAACATCGGCGACCTTCGGCCCAGTCCAACCCAGCATAAACGCAAAGCATGCAACGTCTAAGTCTGCAAATCTAGCTGTTTAGAGGCAAAAATGTCGAGTGGTAAGCAGAGTGTTCAGCAGTCAATGCAATCTGCAACTGAAAAACGCACATGGTTGGTTGGACGTTGAATATCCCCTTTTAGTTCACATCCCATCCATCAGCCCCCCATCCATTCACCAGCCTTCGGATGATCTTCGCCCTCCACCTCTCTCCTCTGCCCACGTGTCGCACACGTCGCGCAAGTGTCGCGCCTTCCATGGTGGTCTCGTTGAGTGCCAGGATGGCGCTCTGGGCTTCGGCTTCGGTCTTGTAGCGCACGTAGCCTCGGGGCAGGTGCTTGAAGGGTGGGGTCGAAATGGAGAAACGAAGGATGCTAGGAATGTGGAACTCTAACTCTAATGTTTCACCTGGGCACTCTACAACCTGACATCAAAAAGCCCTGGCCGTGGCCGCCCAAGTGCATTTCACAAATCCAATGGCAGCATGTACAAGCTTATACAAGCTTCCTCTGCCTGACCAGAGACGACTAGCAGATTTCCATGAATCTCATGGTCTTGCTTCTGATCCGAGTTCCTAACCCGAACACTTCTTTTCTCCTCAGCATGCCTCACACAAAGGGAGGCAGGACCTCTAGACGCGTTGTGGCTCATGTGAAATGAGCATGGCTTCAATCAAGAGCTGCAAACCGAAGAAATTCACCATGCTGGAAGTGTCTCTCCCTCTCTCTCCCTATGTATTATATATATATACCAAACACCTGTCCGTTTTGCCCGCCGACCCGGGTGGTCCACCTGCACGTCCCCCGGTGTTGATTCTCCGTCCAGGAGCCAACTCCCTTTGGCTCGCCCCAGTCGTTGTAGAGAACATCGCAAAACTCGATCTCACCAGCGGTCCTCAGTGGTCACTCGCTCACTCACCCACCCCCCCCCCCCCCCGCTCTCTCTCTCTCTCTCTCTTTCTGCAGAGCCGTTCGCTGTCTTAAAGCGCTGCCCCATAGGGGACACTCTGACGGACTAGCTGCACTCACTGAAGCTAGTGGTGTTGCCACGTGTTTGTACATGGAACTGGTCAGCTGCCTTAGCCCATTGAATCCCAGTGAAGTCCCATTTTCCAAGAGCCATCAGCCACCCTCTGCCCATCAATTGGATATGACTTGATGCTGAGCAACCCCTAAAGAAGCTGGGATCCCGGAGCAAAGATCCGCACTTACGAACGGAAAGCATTAACAAAAACGAACCAACTGGGAGCAGCCCAAAGCAATCTCTTTCATGTCTCTTCCTATTCTCTTTTTTCGGCGGCATTGAGCTTTGCAGCTACCAGTATGTCGTTTACGAGGGTGCTTCATTACGCAGCGCTTGCGTTTTCAAGTGGAGTTTATAAAACGACGCTTCTGTGTAAATCCCTGGTCACGGTCACAAAAAATGCAGACATCATGTCATTAACAAATCGCACCCGGGCTCTGCAGCTTTTCTTACGCGGCATGTCGGGGAGGACTAAATGCTTACGCCACCCTGATGCGCAGCTGCCAGTGGTAGTTCCACAAGTAAACGAAGATCTGGCAGAAAAGGACAAGCTTGTCTCGGCATGAAACGCAGCAGTTTCCGCTATAGGCATACACCAGGCAGAAAGAATTGACACTTGCAAAAGTTGTTGAACAAGCTCGATAGCAAGGGAAGGACAGTTGCTCTCGACATCGTGTTGCTCTCGACAACGTCAGCGATGCCTTGCTGTTGGCACCGTTGGCAAAGGGCTCTGAGTTTGAGGACATGTGACTCACGGATGGACATGGGACTTATGCGCTGCCTACGCGGAGCTCGTGTGTGTGTGTGTGTGTGTCACACCCTGGTTCTAAGGGTTTTCCACGTTCTCACCTTTCCACTGTGACAGAGGCATGTTCCACTTTTTCCACCGATGCAGGGGGGCAAGGCCTCCAGCGACGAACCTTGTCCAACGAAGCTAAGTCGCTGGAGGGGAAGCGAATGGAGACGTCCATTCGTGTACCTGCAACTAACTCTTGCTCAAGCTGTACCAATCCTCTTTGTTTGATTCCATGGTGGTTCATGATACTTCCCACAAACCTACTCTTCCCCAGCAGCTGGGCCACCGATCGTCCGCTGATGTGCAACGTTGTTCAGCAGAGTGAGTGAAACAATGTTTAACACTTCAAATCACCGGACCCATTCGCCTTTCCGTTCCCTCGCCTTCCTTCCCATCGTGGCAATTGAGTCTAACTGAAAACCAAGTTCGAAGTGTGGACCGCTCAGTCTTCCCACTTGGGTACTGGGTGTGACCCTCCGAAAGGAGGCGCTGAACTCATACCGGAAATCACCGACTTTCCACTTTTATAACTGCCTTTCCGTTAGTTCAACTTTATCCCTGATTTTCGAGCCGCCGGGCTATAAGCGACGGATTTCCCACCAACGATTCTGAATTCCATCCGTGTTGTCAAGTCATGAGATCGATTTGTGCATTGTTACATCCTTATTCAATTTTTAATTTCAATTTTCACCCGCAGCCGTTTAGCAAACGATCAGCTTTCGCATGCTCCGCACCGCAGATCTCAGGGATTGCATTGCATGCCACGACTTCACCTTACTTTCCTTCACTGCACATGCACTCAGGCTCCAGACGCCCAAAAAGGGCACGACCTGCACGCGTGCAGGCGGTTTTTGAGAGGAAAAGATCCGTCTCTCCACTGCTTTGTCTGGGCGCCGATCACGGCTTGTTGTGTGTGTCACACCCTGGTTCTAAGGGTTTTCCACGTTCTCACCTTTCCACTGTAACAGAGGCATGTTCCACTTTTTCCACCGATGCAGGGGGG